TTGAGAAAGTTGTAGTTGTTATGAAGGATGTAGTAGACAACAACAATATTGATGATTGGGAAGAGAAGAATGTGTTGCTAAGAAGTTGGATCTCAGACACCTTAATAAAATAAAATATGTACCTGATTTTAGGCCTCTCAACTGCCAAGGAGATGTGAGAATACTCGGAAGAAGCTTATCTTCAAGCAACGAAATATTAGGAGTTCCAGCTCAACCATAACTGCAAAGTATTAGGTTAGGAACCAAAAAGATTGATTAAGATACTAAGGAATACAAAGGCATATGTGATGGTCTTGCATTCATTCACCAGCCTATATATGAAGATAAAGAAGTAATTAATTTTGCTAAAAGTTTAAGTGTAAAGTACAAGAGGCTTTTTCATGCTAGGTAAGACACCATATGTCACTCTTAATTAATTTATTAATGCTCTTTGATATGAGATGAGATGAAAAAGAAATTTCACAAAAAAATTATAACGTGACATTCTTTGTCCAAAGGGGTAGGGTAAGAGGAAACTACTCTCAAAGAAGAGGAAATAATAACTTCAATTTTAGAGAAATATGCTTTAAGCCTGCTGGACAAGGAACAAGTTCTTATATAACAAATATAAACCAGGTTCTTGAATAGTCCTTCAAGTAGAAGTCAAGAGAGGAACAATATTGACATGTATAAAATTTATGTTAGGAATAATCATACTGCTCTTAAGTGTTTCTGCATGTAGGACTACTCTTATCAAGCTGCAGATAAGCTACCACAAATATTAGTTGCTACTAATCTACAAAACACTACCAATGACACCTTATATGTGGACTAAGAAGTAAGTAGTGATATGACATATAACTCGAGTAATTTAACTAGTCGTAAATAGTATAATGGGCCAGATAAAATTATTATTAGGAATGAATCAAACTTAGACATAATACATGTTGAGAAGATATTAGGAGAAAGCCTAAAGTTAAGAGAAGTTCTTGTAGTTAATAAGATGGACAAAAATCTACTCTCAATTACTAAAATTGAAAAGGATAATTGTTTTACTCTTGAGTTTGACGAAAGTAACTTTGTTGTAAAGGACAAGAAGACAATGTCACTACTGGTCAAGGGATTTAAAAGGAATGTACTCTCTTCTTTGAAAAATAACAATCTATATGCTAAACTGTTGCACACGATTGAATCACATGAAACAACATGTGGCATATTAGATTAGAACAAGCTGGTTAAAATCTTTAAATGTTTTGAATTGTGATAACTAAATAACTAAATAAATATTAGTCGTTGGAATAAAATGTCTATTGTTTGTACTAGTTGTAAGTTGGGTAAGAGTTGTAAACTTTCATTTGGTTTGAGAAATAAAATTGAGAATCAACTAGTGTTCATAAAAAAGAACATAGAGATATTGTGGAGACTGTCTTAACTCTACTACTTCATGCTAACCTACCTTTGTTTCTCTATAGGCTAACTTCCCCCATTGCAATGTTCCTCATTAATAGAATGTCTTCCTCATTCCTAAAAATAATTACTTCATTTGCTACATTGTATGGAGAGCAACCTGATTACAATAGCCTAAAGATGTTAGGGTATATATGTTTTTCATGTATCTGGTGTAGCATCAAATTCAGTCCAAAAACTTATCCTTGTGTATACATAGGCTACTACAACTTACACAAAAGATATAAATGAAATCATCCCCCTACAAGAAGGTTGTATGTATCCAAAAATGTGTTATAAAAACAAATTACCCTCTGTGTCTCCCAATTAATCTCAGGCTAACATTGGTATTTCACCTCACCTTTCTACTTTTGTTGAATCTTTCTTTAAATTGTAATTACATGATCATAATCACAATTCAGGGGAAGTACAAGCTGATAGTACACAAGGTATAAGTGAAAATGCTACTACAACAATCCATATACTTTTTGATGATTAGAGTGTTATTGACTCCTCAGTTGAAGGATCAAAGGAATAGGTCAAAGTGATGCTCCACACAAAGGTAATGAAACCTAGATTTAAGGCTCGAATTGCAGATTTAGAATCTGCTAGTGGCAATAAGGAACGGGTCGCATGTGCAGGTCACAGTCAATGGTGATTTATTATCACTTCCTCTGCATCTAATTCATTAAGAAAACATTAGAAGTCGACTTTCCCAAGTGGAATATGCTTAGTCATCATCAACAAGAAGATACTACACTACAATCAACTTCTTCAATTGATGTACATCTTACACCACAAGGACATCATATGATCACCACACACAAGGCAAAAGAAGTCATTTGTTGCTCGCAACAGCAAGAAGATCTTGAGGGAACCAAATACTATTGAGAAAGTACTAAGCGAGAGAAATATGTATATATAAATACATATATTTTTATTCTATACACTTAAAATTATACAAAAATAGATCTTCCTCTACCATTCTCTTTTGCCTTTCTCCCTTTCTTAACTGCAAAAATAGATCTTCCTCTACCATTCTCTTTTGCAAAAATATGTTTTATCACAATGTTCACTATTTTCTCACTTAAATTATTTGAGATAATAGCGGTCATCTTAATAAATTGAAGTTAATATCTCAAAAGGTCACACAACTATTAGAATTTATTAAAAAAGTTCATTGAATATTGTTTTACATCAATAAAATCATTCAACAAAGGACTTTTATCATACAAAATCACTCTTTATCATAAAATTAAAAAACATCAAAATAAATTAAGTTATTTTTATATACATTCAAGATGCTTAAATAGCAAAAATAGCTCTTAAATTCATACGTCAACATAAGCATAGTAGTTCGATTATAATATTTTATACTAATGGTAACTAAATTAAATAACTCATATTTTAGTCACAAATAACTCTATTTAAATTATAAATTTTGTAAGCTAATCAATTTAAATAAATTTATTAATATAAATATAAAACATAAAACCAAGAAAATAAACAAAATGAAAGGATTTGAGGGGATATTTTTGTCTTTACATATATCAATCCCATGGTATTAGATCCATGTATTACTAATATCATCAAATGGAAGATATTAGTTATAAACCCTATAACACCATGAAGGGTGTATAACTAATCCATGAATTAGTTATACATAGGCTCAAAATTCCTATCAATCATATTACTCTCTCCGTCCCATTTTATGTGGCAATATTTGACCGGACATTAAAATTTAAGAAATAATGAAGACTTTGAAATGTTTACCAAATTGCCAAGTAAACTCATTTTTATCTCTCGTCATAAATGTTTTAAGTACTATGATTAAAACTAACACTTTGTTTGGATGATTGTTACCCATTGTTTCACAATGTATTGTATTGTATTGTACTCTATTGTACTGTATTGTATGGTAGATACAATGTTTTGTTAGATTGTATGTTTGTTGTTGTTTAATAACGTTTTAATTGTTTGGTTTGATTGTATCGCACTGTATTGTAATTTATTAATTTACTAAAATATCCTTAATTATTCAAGGGTAGGAGGTTTGACTAAATTTAAATAATTAAGGTAAAATGTAAAATAATATTTTGAAATATTATGTAAAGATATAATTGAAAAAAGAAATTAAGTAACGAGGGAACACACCAAATTGATTGTTCCATAAAATAGGGTTTTTCATTGTTACGTAACAAAGAAATCTAACAATACAGTACAATACATTTTAAGTAACAATCAAAACAAACATTGTAGGTACAATATCGATACAATACAATACAATGGATGACAATGATCCAAACATAGTGTAAGTGAAACCAACAAGGATAAAAAATGAATTGTACCTTTAAATACTTACCATATACAAAGAAATATAACATTCTTTTTGGGATCAAACAAAAAGGAAATAATGTCACATAAAATGAGACGAAGAAAATACTACTTAATACCGAAAATTCTTATTATGGTTGACATACAATTATTGTCAGTTGTATGAGGCCTTGTTTGGCTGCCACATGTTAATGAGATCCACATTCCACTTTCATTTCATTACATTTTCTTTTCTCTTTCATTTTTAGCATTCTTTTTTTACTTTTTCTTTTTCCTCCCAACGGTTTCTTCATTTTTTTCTACTTGTTAACTCCTGATATAATTTATTTTTTTTGATGGTATTTATTTTTTTATTTTTATTTTTTATTCAATATTTGTATTGAAATTCGACTATTTTAGATTCGTATTATTTAAGACTTTGTTCGAAAAGATTTACCGTGTACAAGATTTTTTCGTATTCAAAGCTTGAAATCGAGACCTTTAGTTAAGCCAGAAACGACATCATCTGGTCCCATCATTTATTTGAGGAATAATAAAATTGGGTGTGTCGAAAATTTAAATATATTTTTTTACTGAGTTTTAAGGAATTGAAGAATGTTGATGAGTTTTATATATATAAAATGCGCTTTTGATATTATTAAAAAAATCAAATTACAAAATAAATGCAAAATCAAAAAATTGATTTCACAATTATTATTTTGTGGTTGCACTTTCCTCAATTTCTTAAAACTCATCCAAAAAATTAAATTTAAATATTTCTACGCACTCATTTTGGTATTTCCTCAAACATATGATGGTTTAGAGGATGATATTATTTCTTACTTAATTAGAAGTATCGAGTTCAAATTTTGAATATGAAAATAATTCTTGATAGATTGTATATCTATTCAAATAAAGGCTTACATAAATTTAAATTTTAAATATTTTAATTTTAATGCAGATGTTGGATGGAAAAAAATCAATATAAAAATAAAATTATGTTAAATGTTACTCCCTCCGTCAGGAATTGTTTGTCATGTTGTGCTTATCGAAAGTCAATTAACTTATTTTCAAAAGTAAATTAGATCACATTAATTCGATATTTTAAATAAAAAAATTAGATATTCTAAAATTATATGAAAAGTACTATAAATTATAATTTTTTGCATATTAATATAATAAAAAGTACATCTTAAAATGTTTGTCAAATTTTTTATAATTTGACTCTAAAAATAAAAAAACATGACAAACAATATCGAATGGAGGAAATAATAACAAATAGAAAAAAGCAAGAAAGAATTGGGAGGAGATCAGTAAAAGTAAAAAAGAAAAGATTAAAATAGAAGAGAAAAGGAAATGAAACGAAATAAAATAAAAGTGAAAAGTAGGTTCCATTAACATGTGACAGCCAAATAAGCTTCTTACACCTGACAGTAATTATATCCCGCACATAATAAATTTTTTCACTTAATACCAATCACACTACTCATACTAAGACTATTCCTCCTCCTACTTGCTACCAAACAAGGCCTTTTCTTTTATTATTTTTGATCTTTTCCATTTTGAGTCCTTTTCCTTTCTTGACGTTACTTACTAATATCTTCCAGCCGAAACATAAACTATTAGCCCTTTTTGGATAACTCATTTTCTATTTTCGTTCTTCAATTTTCTTGTGATCTCAAAAATCTTTGATGGGGAGATTGTTTGTGTCGACTCTTGAAGGCAACATCTACAGCTGCAAGCACTGTGGAACTCATCTTGCCCTTTCTGAAAACATTGTTTCCAAGGTTTAACTCCATATTTTCTGTTTGATCACTCTATTGTTGTGATTTATTGAAATTTAATTTTGATTTTGATTTGTTTCGTTATAAAAATACTATCTTTGGCTTGATCGGTGGTTTTGTTTCTAGAACTTGTTAGGGATTGTTGTTGGTCTATTTTAGTAATTTTAGATGTATAAAAATTGGCTAATTTAAATCAGTTATGTGAGCGAAGAATGTCTTATATTGAGTAAATTTTACCCTAAAGGAGATGGGGTTTTTATTATCAAAGAACTGGGTTTTGTGGAGTTTCTGATTTTGGAGTAAAAGGGGATTGTATGATGATTGTTTGTGAACTTATAAAAATTAGTTATTTACTGCTGTAGCATGCCATACAAAATTCCTGCTTAATCCAGTTCTGAATTAGAGGAGTTGTTTGTTGAGTCTGATACTTGGAGTATACTTGATTGACATTTTCCATTTGTTCCATGGCTGTGTGCTAGTGGCTTGAATATTCAAACTATTATTGTTATACCCAGTCTGTTGATCAGGTCCTGATCTATTTTCTACATTTTTATCAATTTGGTGCTTGCTTGTTCTCTTCATTTTTCTTAATTTTATTGTAATGTGCATTCATGACTTTCTATGAAGAATTCCATATGACTTCTATAGCATAAAATAAGACCGCATTTTCAAGTTTTGCAGCTTTGAAACTACTGTTTCTTTGAAAATTCATATGCTTTTGGATAGAGTGAAATGTTGATTATGCAATTAATTATATTGAAGTTTATGTTACATTCTTGTTTCAGCCCTTAAATAATGTTTGTACTCATTCTGAGTCATGAAGTTATCTAACTCTATGTTTTCCTTCTAATCTTTCCTTCAGTCTTTCCAGTGCAAACATGGGAAGGCTTATATCTTCAGGATGGTGTAAGGCTATTTGATTTTGCACATTCAATCATCAGATATGTTTGTGACATATTCTCATGTCCAATTTTTTTAACTTGCAACATGAAAATCACAAGTGCAACTTAAAACTTTTGTTGGTTTTATTCTTGTTAGAGTATCTGATTGTTGTTAAGCTTTTCTTGGCATTGATGGGACATAAGTTATTTGTAGCTTTTTTAGATGAACAAAATGATATTTCGACGGTCAAGCTTATCCATACCTCTGCTACAGAAAGATGAAAAAGCTACCGTATAAATCCTCTTATTTGACTTCCACCTCTTCTTTTACTGGTGTGGAGGATACTGTTAAGCTAGAAAGTGAAAAAACATGAAGTGTTTAAGAATTCGTGTTGGTAGTAGTTCGCCAAAATTTTCAGATTTGAAATGAAAAAAGATTTGTTTTCAAAAGTTGAGTGCAACTGGAGTATGTGCAAATTATTTGGCTTTTACTCTACGTGGGTCACATAGTTCTCAGGATCTTTGATTTTGTTATTAGCTCCGAGTCATTATTATCATGGAAGGTCACAACCAGCCTAGAGTATTTGAGTGCACCTGAAAAGTTGTGTACAAGGCAAGCTATACCCTATATGTTTAATTTGTTGAAGACATAATACTTTATATTTGTATATTCATACATTTGTGTCTTAGACATTGCTCTCAAGATCTGATTTTGTTATCAGCTCTGAGTCATTATTATTTCGGAAGGTCTTAACTCATGACCAACCTAGAATATTTGAGTGCACATGAAAAGTTGAACAAGGTAGGCTATACCTTGTAGGTTTAGTTTGTTAAAGACATGGTACTTTATATGTATATCTTCATACATTTGTGTCATTGACTATAAAATTAGCACCAGAATTTGATCAATTGGAATTACTATAGAACCTAGTGGGAATTTTACCAGACTATTATATCGTGTACTTTTGAATGTATTTCCAGGAGTACAAACATTAACACGTTAATATATAGAGTAACTTCTTACTTGACATGGGTTATTTTTCACTTGGTAGCAGCACTACAATAGTTACATGGCTGAATACATATATAATTCTCCACTTGATTGCTCTTGTTTAAGAGTTCTGCTCTTCTCAAACCTCTTCATTTAATTTAATCATTTAGCATAAACACACAAAATGATAATGCAGCTTGTAGTTCTGTGTATTCTATATGCCTTTTGTTTCTTTTGACATGGTGAATGTCACTTCTGGTGAGATAGAAAATAGAATGATGATGACTGGTATGCACACTGTGGCAGACATTTTCTGTGTCTGTTGTGGGTCAAATGTTGGATGGAAATATGTGAGTATAAAGTGATAAGATGCTAGACATTGTCTTTGGCAGTTGATAGAAGTTTTAGTTAATCCTAATATGACGATTCTTTTCAGGAGGCCGCCCATGAGATGAGCCAAAAGTACAAAGAAGGAAAATCAGTGCTTGAGCGGTCAGTTGATTACTTCAGTTTTCTTTAGAATTGAGTTAGGAACATATCATAAGTCCTCACTGAGGTACTTTCTTTTATACTCAACAGGTTTAAGATTTGTGGCGTTGATGGAAGCCATTACTCGTCTAGTCATGATATTCATGTTGCAGGAAGTGATGCTGATGATGTTTGATCACAATCCAGAAAAAAAATTCTATCCCAAAATGTACATTCTTTAACTCACCACCCCATTAGTTCTTTATGGACCATTGGATTCTTGAATAACTTAAGCTACTACAACTTCTTTAAGCTTGTCCTCTATTGTCTATATTAACATGGAAGCCACCATGTGTTGTGGCAAACTAACATGACCATCTGCCTGCATTTGTTTGCAATGACAAGACATTACTAGTAGCAACCACTCTGCTTTCATTGCTTCGGTTTTTCCATTGTTGTTTGGTTACTAGATAGAGCTATGTGGGTATTAGTTATGCAGGTATTACTTACAAAGGGTTTAGTTATGCAGATATTACTTATGCGGGTATTAGTCATGCAGGTATTAGTCAAGCAAGTAGTCTGGACATGTCTTTTTGAAATAAAACCAGGACTATAAATTGATTTGCCGTCTAGTTTGCCCTTTTCCATAACCATCCCATATCCTTCCTGAGTTACTCGCATAGACCATTTAGGTCTACCTAGATATTCCATAAGCCCCAATATTCTATCAAGGCAGTTGCCGAACCATACTACATAGTTCTGGCAACAACAAAAGCTTAAAAAATTAGCACCTTACCCCCATCATCACATCAAAACTTGGTAGAGTTCATAGAAGTAAAACTGGTCTAGTATGGTGTGAAGTTTTGTCCAGACGTAAACAGAATGATGTCAAAAACTAGCTAACATTTTTGTCCGAAATCATGGCTTTGTTGTTTTATCAACAAAAATATGACAAGAGTTAGTAGAAATTTAAGATTATTCAGCAGATTTGTAATGACCTATTATGTCATTATAGTTGTTTAGGGCGATAGTACCCTTGTGTAGATCTCTGTGAGTCAAGAGTGTGGTAGAAATTCGGAAAAGGAAAATCGAGTACGAAAATCTGCTTGTGTTTCACTATAGTGGACACTTTCTTTGTAATAACTAGATCACTATTTATACCTCATTAATTTCTGTTGAGCAATTCATACGCTTAGAGAGTCAAATTTATGGGGTTTCTAGGTAGGTTAGGTTCATAAATCTATACTAGAAAGGCAAGATTTAACGGACTAGAATTGAAGATCATTCATAATTAAATTGCCCCACATGTTATGCCATCAAAATAATAACCCTAGGTTTCAATAGATGAAATCCTATGGATATTCTTTTCAGTTCTAGGAGTAAACCAAAATATGGAAGAAATGAATGAACGGAAGACACTTTCCTCAATAGAGAAAAACCCCAAGTCTTGGAAAAATCTTCTCTGGGGTTCTTTAGTCAGATATTTTACATTATGACTTAGTATGGAAAAAAACTAACATAAAGACGCGAGTTACTATTTTCCGACCTTCTCCGTAGCGAAACTTCACAACTTCGTTATGATCATCCATACTTCCTATTCGATAAAATCATCTTTAAATAATTGGTTAAACCTTCTAAAGGTAAAATTATGCGAGTTTGAATACTCAAGACCTTTGTTTGAGAAAGAAGATGATTAATGTGTTGTTATATTTCTAGAATGAATACTTCTAAGGGTAAGATTGTTTGTCGTCTCATGATGAGAACTTACGAGTGATGAGTCTAAATATGAGAGTTTTATTATTGTCCGTAGTCTCATGTTGAAAACTTGCGAGTAATAAGTCTAAATATGAGAGTTTTATTACAACACCACTTTTGTTCAATATTTCTTTTTTGATGGCAAGGGAAACCCGCAACCGCTATCCTTTGGGTGAGCACAAGGTAAAACCCCCCTCTTATGCAATAGATCGCAAATCAAATAGGATAGGTAACCCGCACTAGCAAGCCTAAAATGCCTATAAATTTAATAAAATTCTTTAGTTCCACTTGAAACTTTCTAACTTCTTAACCTCATATATGATTAGACATGCAGACCTTTCTCGTTTCACATGTACAATCTGAATATATGTCATACCTCAACGATCTAAATTTGATATATTTTTTTTAAATTTCAACCTTTTTGCAAACTTTGTACACGATAAGAAATTATTGGGCAAAGATATCTGATTGTCTTTCATACGGTCACAATTAAGATAAAAGGGTGAATTTTGTCCAAATGAAAATAATGAAACCAGAATGATGTCCAAAACTAACAAACATTTTGTCTGACACTCATGACTTTATTGTTTTATCAACAAGATATGACAATTTGCATAAAATAACATACTCATTATCCTCAATAGAGAAAACTCTCCCTTAACGAAGTTTCAGTAGATAACAACTATTTGATTACAATTAAGATTATTAAGCAAATACATAACGACTTTTTCCATCGTTATTATTGTTTAGGCGATAGTACCCTTGTGTAGATCTCCGTGGGTTAAGAGTTGGTAGAAATCTTAAAATGGAAAATCGAGTGTGAAATTCAGCTTGTGTTTCCCTATAATGAACACTTCTTTAAATAGCGAGATTGGTATAACGAAGGAAGGCTACATAGAGAAGGTAGCGAAGTTTCGCTATAGTGAAGGTCAGGAAATAGTAACTCGTGTTTTAAAGCTAGTTTCATTCAGATTTAATCATAACGTAATTTTTTTACCAGATTGGACCTGCAGACGGTTTGTGTGTCACATTTACTGTCCATATATTCGTCATACCTCGACGATCAAAATTTGATATTTTAAATGCTCTTTGATTTCAACATGAAAAGATATTAGCTATTACTATATCTACATTTGCTTTAGAAAAGCTCAGTCAAAGCAATGAAATTTAATGACTCAAATCTAATTCAAATTTTTGAAGTGTTATAGTTGACCTTAGTAAGTCATACAAAAATTACGGGTAAAATTACTTAATATTTGGCTTTCATATAACAACAACTGAAGTTTTATCCCAATGAAAGAATAATTGTTGACACCCAATCTTATCCTTTATGAATTTCATGGTAATAAAAATATCTTAGATGGAGCTTGGAACTTACTATCCTCTGCCAAGAAGACAAAGATTTACTTCCATAAAAAGGATGATTTATGCGGATCAACAATTATTACTGTCTTTGTATTTATTCACCTTTATTAAGAACTTATGAATAATCATTTTCAAAGTTCAATTACTATCATGCTCAAGTATTTTTACAAAATCTAGTTATAATCATATTTTTGATTTGGTTTCACTTGTATTTAACAAAATCTAGTTATAATCCTATTTTTAATTTGGTTTCACCTGTATTTACATATTTTATTATTCTTTTATACTATCTTAGTTTAGTTAGTTCTGGTAGCAAAGAATTTTTTGTAAGTCGAGTATATTTTCTGCCATCATATGAATTTTTCTTGCAACTTATTCAATTATCTAAATGATGTGTAACTCTCTATTCAATTATTCATACATGCTTTTTATTTGGGGTTTTTGCGTCCTAGCAAAACTACTATATTGATTTTAATTCTTAATCATGTTTTCTCATTTATCTTGTTGTTGCTACAATTCTCATTTACCCAAATTTTCTTTTTCCTGTTTGTTGGAATATGCTTTATTATAAGTTTGGTGTTTATTGGAAATAATTTTTTCATCTCTAAGAAATACAGATATGATATGTGTACACTCTATCTCTATCCCTCTTCAAATTTCAGTTCTGAAAATTACATTTATTTTTATTTGAAGATATTATTATTTTTGTAATTATGTGTTTATTGTATGTAATTTCGATGAAGCCTTTTATATTTTTGAATGTTATCAAAACTGACCAACTATTTAAAGTCAAAAACTTTTGTGTTAGGAATGAATATCAATTTCAAGTTACAATGATTCACTAACTTTTATATTGAGAAAATTGATTAGTGTAAAGTTACACTATCTTTAAATAAGATTCACAATTCTCAAAGCACATTCAAGTCATGTAAAAAAATAACACTAAGATAATTGATGAACTTTGATAGAATAATCACCCAATGTATGTTTTTGTTAACTATGTCAATCTATTTTAGCATCTTGTCTCGTTAGTCTATTTGTATGAAAACCTTTCTTACTTTATTTTTTAAATTAATTAAACTTTTAGGACATACATGTTCTCACTTCTAAATACTTTTTATATGTACATCACTTTGATTTCAACCATGACAAGTGGAGTCGTCAATTTGTGAAACATAGCTTAAAAGGAATCATCTCTCCATGCTGGGACATGTACGTGTTGGCCTTTTAGGAAATGATGACACAATACAGGCTATAGTTGACTTCTTGGATGAAGCACATATATAAATTTATAAAAATAAAGCACTTCTTATTTCATTCTTTTTCAATTTTATATATTACCATTTTAAAAGTTTCAGAAACTAGACAACTTTCATTATTATACTAATATGTCCATATACTCTCGTATAATCTTAATACCAATTTATTTATATATATTTCATTAAGAATTCTTTTCTTCTTGTTTTAAAGCGTTTAAAAGAGTTGATCATAAAAAAATGAAACAAAGGGAGTAACTATTGCCAATCTGTGTTATGAAAATCAGAAATTACTGGTTGCAATAAATCATTCAGAAACACGAAGTTACTGAGATTTTTAGAACCAGTAAGTAAGATGAAAAAAAATTTATTGGTAAAAAATAATTGAATCTGTAAAAACTTACCAGAATCTGGAATGCTCTTTTTAATAATTTAGGAAGAAAATCAAGTCCACTGAATTCATAGTGTCCCCTTAAGGAAATTATTCCCCTCGAGTATCCGAGGTTTGATTTGGAATATAACCTCCCAGGGTAAAATGATCTTAATCAGTAGAGTATAGATACCAAAAACTCTACTGTCAGTGAATCAATCCATAGCATGAAAGTACACGAAGAAATATGTGGTTTTTAAGAAGAAGGAAGATCAGAAAAATTCATAGGGAAATATTCTGAAGACTGAATAATATTTATAGGCAAGAAGAATTTATTCTGAAAGGTTGCAACCCCTTCAGAATTGACACGACCATTAATGAAAGATTGCAAACTTTCAAATGGTATTGACTGTTCCTGAAAGTTGCAACCTTTCAGAACAGTCATGGCGGGAATTTTTAAATATAACGGAAATTAAAATGGGCCACGCATGCGGATTCAAGTCGGGTCGAATAACTAAAAAGTTGAAAACATTTCGATTAACTTTTGTTATCAACTAATTAATTGAAAATAATTTTTGGCCATTTAATTAATTAAATAAATAATTAAAATAAATTTATCCAAAAAATTATCTCTTGATCGATCATTTGCCAAAGCCAAAGCCAAAGCCGAATCCG